TGTAATGTATTTATTATTTATTGTATTTGTACCAGTTGGTAAGCTTCAATATATTGAGTAATGTTTGTAATATAAATTAAAAGATTGCATTTTATTTAGTTTGAAATTACCTACATCCAGAGAGGTGCGAGTCACGGGTGTCAACCTCACTGTAGGAACGGTCGTGGCGCAAACACAGGGGTTTCTGTATTACATGATGGACGGATGAATTAATGCAGCCACCTTTACACGGACGTGCCAAATACGGAAAACCCTCGACTGAAGGAACTTAAATGTTTACCAATACAATATGTTTCTGCAATTATATTAAGAAAATAAATGCGTTACGATCCACTGAAATGTTTTTTCCTCGAAGCAGACGTTATACTTTTACACCTCGAAAGCCCTTATCCACTTAACTCATTATCATAGACATGTTATAATTAATACACAAAGTTACATAACTCAAAAACTACTAGCTTGGATTTTGAATTTTGATTTAAATATATCAGTATTCTCAAAAATAAAATCTACTTATTATTAAAAAAATATAAAAAGGAGGCTCCTTATGAAAAACTGAAGTTCATAGTTTCATTGGATCATCTATAAATGGTACAATATATGTCAATAATTCATTACATTAGGTTCATATCTCATATTATGTATTTAAAATTTCCAAAAATCTATATTTTGGTACTTGTTTAATTTAACCATAAAAATAAAATTAACATGCTTAAAAAATAACTCTGTATATACCTACTACGCTATGGTCGTTTGTAATTTGTGTAGAAAAGTATTGTATACTTAAAACGTAATGAATGTAATTTATTTTAAATCGTTGAATTTTGAAACAAACAAAGAAATAAACAACATAATGTTTTTTATATCTACTTATTCAGAATAAGTAGATATAATTTAACCAGGGGACAGTAGGTCAGTTACATGTTTCTATGTAATTTAATACACAAAATAATCCTGCATACATATTGGTTTTTGATTTTTGAGTTTTTGACAATGCATAATGTGTTGCTGTTATTTGTCAACCCACATGTTCCCACATTACACCTACAACTGTAAATATAATATTAATCAGAATGAAATCGTGATTTAGTCAATTCACTCTAATTTTTAATCTATAACAAATCTATAACAACAAATGATAGTGTAACGTTCTCTTAACCGTAGAATGTAGATATTGAAATTTTTATAAATTGTTTTTATTTAAAAATAAAAATATTTTTGACTCATTTTKAGTTATTTATAGACATTTTCAATTTCAATTTTTTCAGTTTGTTATTTAATAAATCTCAATTAAATTGTTTTGGTTGGGTCAAAAAGATAGAACATTTAAAACAAGTTTCCTTATAAGTTTTGAGAGCAGTTGATAAATATAATAAAGATCTATACCTAGGCATCAAAAAATTTTTTCCGTAAATATTTATAGCTCTAATAGGTACTGGCAGAAATATATAGAATTGATTTTAGTTTCAAAAATTTTCAAATTATTTTGTAGTTAAATTATAAAATATTCAATTTTTATAGCTAAGAATTGAAAATTTCAAACAAGCATCTCCAACAATTGTTCATATTTTTCCCAACAAAACTAAAAGCTACATAAAATATAAAACAATATTTTTTACAGAAATTTTAAGTTCAAATTTACCTAGAATAATGATTTAAGTTATTTTCATACAGTTTCAAAATATTAATTGTTGATATACCTAAGACTTTTAGATAGCATTATTTTTATTATACTGTATACCTACAGTCAAAGCTATGAGTGAAATTAATTAATTTTAATTACAATAATGATATAAAATTTAATTATTATATTGATTTTCACTCAGAATCGATTTTCATGTCTCTACAATTGTTATTGAATTCAAATTTAATACATTAATTACAGTGATTATTTGACACCAATAATGTACAACAGAGCGTTATCCATTTACAGCTATTTCAATTGAATTAATTCAACTTTTTTTTTTAAAGCTGACTTGTTAAATTAACTGTTGACAAGTTCATAAAACTAATCTGAAGTATGTTCAATATTAAMTGCTATGATGATGCAAAAGCCAAAAATTAAAAATAATTGTAAATGTGTAAATTGTTGTAAGTTTATATTATGAAAACTAAGTTGGTACCTACAGACCAACTACTTTATTCGATTTAAATTTATTTATTTATCGCTAGAAATTTGGTACCGAATTTATACAATTACTTAACATCTTTATATATTTTTCACACGTACCTACCTATCTACTTAGCTACGTTGATTCTCAGTGGAACTCGCTTTATTCAAATTTCCGCCCTTATATGAATATATTTCTTCGTTAGTTTAATAAGTATCTAGTTCTAGACTTATTGTTCTATCAAAAGTAATAAAAATAGGCAATTATAAAAGTTATAACCATAAATGTCATTAGTAGGGCTAGGAAATTCTAGGAGTTTGCATGTTTTTCAATAATTATTCAAAACATAGCTAAGTAATGTAGAAATTTGTTTCATGGTAATACGAGTTTATATTTAAAATTTATAGTTGCATATTTGACCATTTTTTAATTATAAAAATCCTGGACCAGAAATATGAATTTTATGGTTTTATATGCAGGGTGATTATTTTATCAGACAACGCTCATTATTTAAAAAAGTATTGACTTTTTTCAAAATATTTTTTTAAATAATGAGGGTTGTTTGATAAAAGAATCACCTTGTATATAAAATTAGTATTGTTGTTTTTCTCGCAGAATGCTCTATAAATTATAAATGGACAAAATGAATCTATGGACGGATTGCCAACAGTGGCAACAGATATTAGTAGTGGTGATATTCCGTTTTTTAAGTTTGCACCAATAACTTCGGTCGACGTGGAACGTTCCTTTTTGAAATAAAAAAATATTTTGGCTGATAACAGGAGGTCATTCGAATTTTCCAACTTGAAAAAATATCTCATATAGTTCAATGTAATAAATACAATATTAATTAAAACAATTTACAAATATATTCAATTTAAAAAGTATTTTTTTTTTATTTTAGACTAAAACTCGGGTGTTAGGAGAAAACCAATTATTTATTATGACAAGTTTTTTTACTCTAAATCAAAATTTTGTTAATTATGTCTACATATTAAAATAAAAAGGTTTTTATTAAATACTGTTAATTATTTTTTTTAGTGCATATTTTAATAGCATATTTGGTAATTTTAAAAGGCATAAATGCATACATATTTTAAGGTTTTTTAGGGAATAAAGTCCCTAGCCCTAGTCATTAGTATTCTTAACAAAATTGTACGGCCATCGTATCATAATCTTAACTATTTTATTTTGAAGCAGGTACTTCCGTTATATTTTTGAATCAGAAATAGAAAGTTAGTGCAATGCTATTTTAAGCCTCGCGTGTCCCGAGTCGCGATGTTCAATGTTGATAAAAATATGTCATTTACATCAGCTTTAGTCGATACTGAACAGATAATAATAAATAATATTGCGTTATATCTTAATATCTTATATGTTAAGAGGTACATACTTGTTATTAGTTGTAATTTGTCTTTGTCTTTGTTTTCGTAATTCCTTTTTGCTTTCGCTGACTAGTGACTAGTGACTTTAATTTAATAAATTATTGGTGATTGATCAACGATCATTACTAATTTGGTTTACCTTCTGGTATTACGTTGTATCGAAACCTAAACGATTGGTCGCGAGATTTTTATCCATCATGAAAATAAACGGTGGATACATCTTAAATCTGTGATCGATGTGATTACTAATCCGCATTATAAGATGCATGCAATGTTATAATAATTTATGAGGATTAAACAGCAATAATCAGCTCAAAATGAAACTCTACCTGGACGAAACGTGCCGAGTGAATTTCCCTGGCGACACCATTAAGGGTATACTCTGCGTACGCGAATGCCTTGATGTCGGTCGTAAGTACCAATAGTATCCCATTTTTAAAACGATTTTTTAATGCTATAACGTTTCCATTGTACGTTGCGCACAGTTGAACCCAAGATAAAGGTCACTGGTTTCACGTGTATATGGAAACTGGGTGTCTCAAATACTGTGGTGAACAATGGTGAAACCGAAGAATACTCGGTGTTCTTCAACGGGATGGCAGTTCTGAGTAAAGAAGACGACACACATAATATGGTTGATCTGTCACTGATTGATGAATTAGAAGGTTACCTGCTGATCTTGCAATAAAATTATAGTTTGTAAAGGAGTGGGGGAGGACAACTGTCTCCTCAGATGTTTAACTAAGTGGCAATAATATAGTGTCATTTTACCTTATATAGATTTTTAGTTCCAAACTTTTCCAAATAAGTACCATCCAAGCTTTTAAATCTATTTCTTTTGCCAAATAACATCTGCATCATGGCACATCTCCAACTTTTATTACACAAACATTTAAAAATCAAAACAGTCCCTACATAATATGCTAAAAACTATTACAATAAATTCCACACCAAATCAGCTAATCACATAAATCCATAACGGCATAACCTATTATCTAATTTAACCTGTGAATTCACATCAAACAACCTCCCACGTCGACTATAAGGACACTAGTGTTAAAATCCCTCAAACACCGACCTGTTTTAAGTAATTAAAAAACTTATCTCCCACAAAGTGTGAGGGTTCCAAAATGGTGGCTCTTCCTCCACACGTCATGTTGTGTTATAATATAAATTAATTGGAAATGTACTTATTGTAAATACATTATTATAGATTGTGAATATACTTTTGTCAGACAATATAAATAAATAAAAGGATTTTTAATTTTACCACAAACTGCCCTTCTACCCCAAGAATTTACCCCAGATTATGCCTATAATTGTCTGTAAATAATTAACACTCTATTGTATTGTTTATTTTATTAACAAAGGTTATTCCAAAATATTTAAGTTCCACATTGTTTTGCCGAACAATTTACCACCATCACATGAAGTCCCATTTGGTCATACAAGGTACAACATTGAAACACAATACAACGGTTTAACCACTCTACACCATTTTAGTGTGAATCAATGGGTTGGTTTGAAGAAACGTAATGATGCTTCCGTAAGTATTATTTTTAATCGTTTTCATTGATAGTTCTTTTATAGAATTGTTTACTCCTTACATAGGTTAAACATGCAACATTTTCTGTGCCATTCTATGCATTTTGTCAATCAATTGAAATTATATTAAATTTAAACCAGTCATATTACTTACCAGGTGAAACTGTTTATATAATAGCTATGATACAAAACAATTCTAGGACAGATATAATTTTCTCTAAAATACTCATTGTTCAGGTTAGTTGTATTTTTAGAATATTTGTTTACATTTCATTAGTACTTATATAAACTAAAACTATAAACATTATACTACTAGACAGAACATGATTGTAGTTCCGGAAATCTTATGTGAGAGAGCTGATCTTGGCGTATAATATTTATATCACGAGATCATGCCACTCGCCTAAGTCATGTCCAGATTCTCTGTCTATTAGTGTAATGTTTATGACTGAAACAGTGAAATATGATGTTTTGAATAGTTTAAAAAGAAGTCTTTCTTTTCTAAGCTATTTCATTTAAATTTGTGGTATATTTTACTCTGTTTCTGTGCTATGTACATTGTACCTATTGTAAAATGTGTTAACAACAAAAAGAATAAATAATTAAAATTCACTGTTTGATTCAAATTAATTTTAAATATATTTTACTAAGTGTTATTATATAGTATTTAAGTCTGTGGCAGTAAGTAATAACTCGATGTGATTGTTATTTTGAATTATGTATATATTAAAATTATTTTTATACTATTAATTATTAATAAAACATATTTATAATACATTCTATAGATTACAAAGTACTGGAAGACTCATCATCTATTACCAATAAAACATGTGAGAGTAATTGCAGAAGGAATACGAGGATACATACAAAGTGGAAATAAACAAATATGGGATAGTCATCCTTTAAATTTACCAGCAATTATTCCGACTACAAATACATCTGACAATCCATTTAACTATTTTGAAGTCAAGTATAAAATTAAGGTTATTGTTTTTAGTAGAAATTGATAATTTTCTAATTTATGTTTGTTAATAATTAAAAATTAATTTTAATTTTTACACTTTAAATCTTATAAAATAGTTCATTTATTCATAGTCTAAATTACTTTATTTTTCTTAGTGTTAGCTGATTAAAAACTTTTCTTCTTTCACAATTCCTGATAGTTATAGGTATCCCTGAAGATTAAATAGATATTATTTAAGTATTAAGATTTATGAAAATGAATAATATGTTTTTCTGTGTTTGTATTTTAACTTTTTTTTTATTAGCTTTTAGTAATACTATTACAGCTCAATTTTAACTTATTAGTTTAAGTTATTTCATATATTTAATTATTATAATAATTTTTACACAAAAAGGTAATTATAATTTGTTAACTAAAACAATTTGTAAATTTATTACATAGTTAATGATAAGTTTCATATGGATAATTTGTAGAGGAAACTGTTCACTAACGGTACCTCATAATTTAATGATTTTTAACATTTTTTTGTTAATAATTATTGTTTGTTATTCTGTATTAATTAAAATTTTGAGTAAATCTAGATGTGTTTGAAATGATGTTTAAAATTTCTTGAGAGAGAATTTTTGATACATACATATATTAACTATAATATATCAAAATAATCTATAGATTATGTCTTATTATTCATATTTTCATTATGTTCCATGTAATAATATTTAGTATTTATAGTTGAATAATAGAAAACTAAAATAATTAACTTATTTTTGCAAATCAATTGAATGCACTTTTTTTATACCTAGGTATATATGATGAAACTAATACTTAAAATATTTTTTTTTTTCAGATGCTTATTAAATTGAAAAACTCAAATAAGAAAATAGTGTTAAAACAAAATTTATTTATTGGTAATTGGGATAAAAGTATTGCTTCCAGCGGTAAACAGTTTATGGACATACTGCAAAATAATGATTGCTCGACTCATGGTAAGTCATACTTGATGATAGTTTGAGTTCAATTATTTTTTAATATTGCTATAAAAATATAAATTTTTAAATCCAATACATTTTTGAAATTCACAAATTCTTAAACAATGTCTATTTAAAAGTTATGAGAATACAATTTAACAAAGTTTGAGGATATTTATGTATGAACTATCAAGATGTAATATAAAATTTAATAAAATATTTTTAGCATTGAAGCATACCATCAACTTCTCCAGTCTATAATTCTTCTAATAATTTATTATTTACTACTTTTACCATAATTTGTCTCAAATTGCTATTTTTTTTCAGTGGTTGGAGTTAAAGATTGTTCTCTACTTAAAGCAGAAAACAAAGACATTGACTTCATACCAAACTATGTGATATATGAGAAAAGTCAAGAATAAGATTAAGTACATTAGTTAAATATATTGTATATTATTTAAAATAAAAGGATTATGTCAATACAATGTTTCACTTTAATATTTTTATAGAAAAATAAATAAATATTACTTTTTTCTCTCGTATTTCCATTTATAAATTGGTGCCGCATCTTTTGTTGCGGGTTTTATCTTCTTTGGCTGTTCTTGCTTAGAACCGAGCAAATGAGATTTAATTTCCAATTTCCTCTGTACAACAGACAATTCTTTTTCCCTGTTAGTTCTTCGTTCTAGTTCTCTATATGATTTTCTCTTTTCAGATAACATTTGCTTAATAGTATCTTCATCTAAATCTGGTAGTTCAATTTTTTTCAAATCTGACATTCTCATACGATTTGTTTTCCTGGCGATAAGATCTGGATGTGTGTCTATCTTTTCAGCTAAATTGCCAAGAGACTGATCATCATCATTGAAATGTATATGACAGTTGTTTGCTTGATTAGCTTGATCTAAGAAATGAAGTTGTGATTGTAAACGCTCAATTTTTTTCCTTTCCATAGTTGCACGCATATTGATGTATTTCAAATCTCTAGTTTGCATTAGCTTAATTTGATCTTCAGTGTGTTCGTCTTCTTCTCGTATTTCTGTATGACGACCATCCTCGACTTTGGAATTTATCATGTGAAAATAAAATTCGTCTGGATTGCGGTTTTGTGCTCGTTTCTTCAACAATTTCATAACACGTTCACGTTCTTGGTGGTGTCTAGCACGAACTTTATAATCCTTTTTCTTCTCGAGCAACCCATATTTTTGGCGTGATTCAGGCTGATGACGCTCCCTGTGAGTTTTCTGATTAACTTTTGATGCTTTTATCCACGACGACATTTTCAAACTAAACAAATTCAAAAAAAGTTAAGATTATATTATAATTATAATAAAGTTATGTTATTCTAATGAATAGTGCCTCTGGCTTTTGGGTCTGGAGGAAAAATCCGGAAGAAGTCCATATCACTGCAGTGATACCACAACAATACTAATTTTATATATTTTATGTGTAATATTATATTAAATCATTGCTAATTAAATTATTCTAGGTCCAAAATTATATTTAAAAGTGTTAGCCATTACAACGAGCACATAGGTCATAAACTCATAACTTATAATAGTTTCATAATTATTATAGGCTAAAATGCACTTTACCAACCCTCTCACGATTTTCCGACCGGAAGCCGGTAGGCGTAGGGAGCTACTATACTTGTCATACTCTAACAAAAACTTCAAAAAAATTCGAAAAAATCGTGTGAGAGCTAAAGTACAATTATTCCATTTTTTTCACCCGAAAATTACTATGTCCCACAACTGGTTAAAATACATAAATAAAATAATAAAATTTGCTATAGTGGCTGTCTTATAGCTTTGCGCGCAAACATATAAGCGTAAAATCGTAAACTTTGGAAGGCTATAACTTCTAAAATAATAGTTTCCGGTAAAAAAAATTACACCATCGTTTAAAGCATAAAAAAACAAGTCGGTTAAAAAAAAAATTTTTAAAATCGTGAGGGGTTGGTAAAGTGCATTTGTTCCTTATTATATAATGTTAATGTTAAAATGTATTATTATTAAGTAGGTAGGTTAATAAAACTTTTATAATAATCAATTTAATACTCGTTCATTTTCTAAGTTAAAAATGTCAGACGTAAGATCAAATTATTCTTATTACAATATAATATTTGTATAATTAATTAATAGTATTTGTTCATGTGACTGACATGAAGGTCCTCGGTTTTTTCGATACCTCTCGGAAAAATACACTTATTGTTATAATAATTTCAATTTTCCGATCGGTTGGCTTTTGGGCCTGGGAACAAAAAATGTCGAAATATCGAAAAACGCCCAAGAGGTTTTTTGTTCGTACACTGTAGTAGAAAAACATTACGTAGTCGGATTTCCGAATTATCGCTTTTCACTTAACTTTCGGTTAGAAATGTATTATTATAACTTACCCAATGAATGTGTAGTATTTTGAAATGTATCACGAATGTGCATTCGATTAAGAAATATATCTGTTGAAGTGTTGACTCACTTACACAGTTACACTTGACTGTAATAGTTACCGTACTTTAGTATTTAAGTTACTAAATTTAATTGTTAACTGGACAACAAGTTCAGCTTATCAAGTTGTGATAATGCTGTTATCCGAACACTGAATTTTTTTCAATTATCAATAAACAAGCACGTGGGTAATACCAGTGCTTCCCTAAGAAAAAATTTGAAATATTTTGAGTAAAATAAATACACTTATTCATGGACCTAATTAAATAGTTAATGTTCATATCCATAATTTAATAACATATTATGTTATAATTCTTTCTTTATTCAAAATATTACCAATGGACAATGGTATTTGGAGCATATAGACATAATAATATATTATTATGTCTATGATTTGGAGATTGGTAGCTATATAGTTTAATGTTTATTGACTTCCTAAATTTCAAAAAAATATTATGTGTTCTATGAGAAAAGCTATCTCCACACAGTTAATAAATAGTAAGTAAAAGCTTAAACTACCCATTCTTAATAATGGTAAAATTATAAAATGGCCACTCATGGAAAAATATACTGGTGTATTTGGCTATTTATATTCGCAGCTAAGCAGCTTGGTCATAACTCACAACACTAAAACAGTATGTTTACTTTTTTTAATAGTTTAAATTTARTTAAATTCAGAAATCAAGATAATCAGTCAGAGAATTAGTAATCCTGGATCAAGAAACCTTAACAGTTCAGAATCTTCAGATACATATAAAAATTGCTCTATACTTTAACCGACCATTTCTTCATAGTTGATTCGTAAAATTATCTGTTGATTTATTAAATTTAATTTGTTGAATTAGAATATTTTTTTTCATGGAGACAATTATTAGTTAACAAAGTTGTATACCAGTTTTTTGAAACGCTCACAGCTTAGCACCCTAAACAAATTTCAATCAGCGCTAGAGCATCCTATCACCCCTCWACTTGRAGTCTTATTATGGGTCTTTATTTTATCAAGATGGTCCTCAAGACCGTAATAAAGACAATTAACAGAATTTTTTTATAAATCTTAGGTTTTACTAATAACATTAATCAGTCATCATAACCGAAAAATGTATATCTTAATTAATTTCTAAAATTCTTCGAAGGGTTAAAAGCGGTATAAGTCAATTATTTTATAAGGTCACTGAACTACTTTTAATAAAACAATTAAAACGATTAATTAATTTTATATTTTGACTTTCCAACCATGGAATTCTAATAAAATGATTAACTTCTTGTGCACAACTGATAATCCTGTTTTTTGTATTAGTTAAAATTCTATAGAAATAGTTTTTGTTTTAGAGATAAAAAACTTACATTACAGTATTGAAGTATTAAAATTATTATATTTTATTTTAAATGATTATATAAATTTTAAATACAATTATCACATATCATGTAAATTTAATTTTTTCATACGGTTCATTAGTATACATATTTAAGACGCAATATAAATGTATTTATCATTTTAAATAATTAAATGTGTTATTATTTGATTGGAATAGGCATAGTTGTAAATTATATAAAAAAAATGTATGAGTAACTTATTATATTTCAGACTTGAACATTTAGGTAGACTAAAAATGTACACATTAAATTTAATATTAATAGTTAAACATATTATCTCCGTTTATGACTTGTTGAATATTTCCATAAAAATGTAAACAACAATTGTTATTCACCAGGCATTTCACCACCAGGAACCAACTAAAAACAAAAAATAAATATGTAATCAATATTTTTATCCTTATTATAATTTATAGTTGAATTACATCACTGATAACAAAAAAAATTACCATTGTTATGTTATTTCCATTTAACAATATTTGATCCAACTTAGTGACTCGTCTTCCTTCAGGGGTAGATTCATATTCTGTTACATCTTCAAGCAACATATTGACAAAATCATCAAACCCCAATAAGGTACCGACTATTTCCTTATCGTTTTTCATAACAATGTGAATCCTAGAGCCAATACATTTATCCACAAGTTCTGAAATGTATAACATATAACATATAAATTTGTTTCTCCAATTGGGTAATGTACATTTTGTTGTCAAAAAAAAATAAATAAATAAAAAAAATGGAGAACACATTCATCACTCAAACAATTTACCATGTTTCTAGTTTATGATGGTGGATTTTACAAAATATCTAAATTCATTTTACATAAGTGTGTATAATAACTTTATTTTGAATACAACAATAATCCAAGACACTAAAAAAAACTTAACCAAACAATCGTACAAAGTATCTGTATTATATTATATTATATGTCACATACCAAGTGGAAGCAAAGTCGAAGGGTTAGTCGCAACGGAGGTGGCCATGGTATCTGAGTTTTTGGATTTATTTTGACAAGCAAATTAACAAACTAGCAACGTACTCAATAGCACATGAGTCAGCGAGCGCCAATTTGTGATGTTTATGGACTTACGAAGACTGAACTAGTGAACTACAACTTTACTGAAGTAAGCTTGATAGTTGATAGTAGATATGGCATGGCTGTACATTTGCCACTTCTGATAAGGCGGTAACCGAAATATTGCATCTTTTATTGCCTATTCATATCTTAAAAGGGGTTTTTAATGAGCATGCCATGATATTAAGCAATAAAACAATATAAATTAATTTATAATTAAATATAGCTGGGGAACTACCCCCCCCCCATCAAAAGGGTAACCGGTCATTTTGTCGAAATCCATTTCGGCGAAACCTCAAAACTACAATATCAAAGATTTACCGGCTAAAGATTTTCTTTACAAAATAAGATTTAAAAATTTAAATTTAATATTAAAATATAATTCAACGATTTGGTCAATAATTATTACTTTATTAGAAAGAGATGTTCTAGAACATAATATTATATATCTAACATATTATATTCTATAATATGTATTAATGAGTATCTACATTAAAAAATTTCAATTCAATATTTTATAAATATAATTCCATAATTAAGTCAATATTTAAAATTTAATAAAAATTTAAGTCAATATTGTATGCCAAACTTTTTGAATATTGTATTATGTCTTGATTTGAATAATTTTTCACCTTCGTTTTTATGTTTCTGTGTTTTTTTTTTCTATTTTAATTTTTGTTTATCTCTTTTGCCAGCCTTAACGTGTGCCACTTTTAATTTAGCTAGTCCAACATCCCTTTGTAGACCTTCAAACATCTTCCAAATTGACTCACGATGACCACCTATTTGCTTTCGAAAGCCATTATGACATCTTTCCAAAGCATTATTAGTACGAGCCCCACAAGAATTGCGGAAAAAAAATCCCCAGTAGCATTATACCGGGGATTGACTAATTATAAATAATTTAATATATAATAAGTTAAATGTTAAAAATAAAATAAATATTGTATTGTATATTAGGCATGTTAAAAATTGTTATTGTATAAAAACTGTCATATCTTAAAAATATATAATAAAATATAAATAGTTTTAATTATTTTATAAACATGCTATAAGCTAATATAATATAATATTTTATAAATTAATAATTATATAATAGAAAAAAATGAATATAGTATGTTATTTTAAAAATTGTCTTTATAATATTACTTAGTCATTACAGCGCTTTCTGATGTTATGAGCAATCGCTTTTAGGAAGCCTTCAATATTTATTTCATCATTTTGGATTCGTGTACATAGTTCTTTTAATCTCTTTTCTGTAGTTTGGGTCAACCCTAGTTTTTTTCTTTTGTTGAATGGCTCATAATTTAAAGCTAACTTTCATAGATCTGAAACTACTTCATTTTTAATTTTTCTAATTAACTTCCATATTGTTGGATGTTTTTGACCGACTAAATGTATAAGCAGATTGTTCCATCCTTCAGTAGGATTGTTTGTCCTGTGGCTACCATTAAGGGTTGTATCATGAACATTCCAAATATTAGGTGGGAACATAGGTTGTAGCCTTCGAAGACGCACATTCACATTAACTCCAGCTGCATTCCCAACTCGTTTGTAAGTTTTTCATATAATATAGTTTATAAAATAATATAATACTACCGATATAATACTACTGGGGATTTTTTTTTCTAGCGCGGGTTTTTTTTTTCCAACCACCGCCCCACAAAGTTATTAGTAGGTATTATAGGAATAGGATTGTGTCCAATATGGCTGCTATGGTCCTGGCTAGAATATCCCCTGCCCACCTTCTGGCCGAAGAGCATTTTATGAATCGAGAGCGAAGATGCGACGGTAGCAGTCATCAAGAGGCAGGCGCTGGATATTGCACGAGTAGGAGCTGTGGAACCACGCGACGAAGGCGGCGTGGACGCAGAAGTTGATTTCGGATATCCGGAGTCGAGTAAACCAGTCAAGGCTAGTGAATATGTCATTCCACATGGCCCAAGCACTATCGGTGCATGGATGCTTCCAGCTGTATCTATGGAAAAGGGGGAGGGCAGCTGATCTCCACTGCGAAGAGCCTTAAGACCCAGTGGAACATACGCTGTTCCATTGTCATCCTACTGGCTACTGGACAGAGGGTAGACGTGAAATGGAGCAGTGCATCGGTCGGCGTCTACGGCCCGAGGATGACTCTAAATTTCATTCTGGTGCCGGAACAGGACAGGGAATAATTGCAGTTTAGCTGCAGTATAAATAATTGCAGTTTACAGGAATGGGTGACAGTATTGTGATAAATAGTTACCACCTGTTTCTGATTTTTGAACAGGAACAAAAACAAAAAAGTAACCTTCGGCCAGGACCAGGGTTCCGGAACCTTTTCATAGGAAAGAGCCATTTTTTTTTTTAAAGTTACCAAGCCATGATGTTCAGAGAGTCGCACAGGTTGGTTCGGTCCAGGAATCAAACAACCTTCTATTTTTTTTTTTTGTAATCGTAGTATTCAGAGTATTCTGCATTTTAAAAAAAAAAACCTATATTTATGGGTCTCGATATTATATTTATACATTTTTTTAAAGAGCCCCACACGCGGATTCGAAGCCTTGCCTCATGGGAAAATTACTACTTTCGTTATATTTTTATCTAACCACCGTATTCTACTCGATTACAATCGGTCGAGCTCACAAATTACAATCGCCCGATCACAGAATTCTGTGTCGCGTGCACAGACTTCTATACTTACTAGATAAGTATAACTCTTATAATATTTACATTGTTATCAGTGAAGCTCGCACGGGGATGACCGCCATCTTTTCGGTTGGCATATACAAAAAGTATAAGGAATAAATGAAATTATAAATTTTTTTGAAGGTGATATATAACAATAATGACAAAATGATCTATATAAAATAATTTTTTTTGTTACAAACAACAAGTCTAGAAATAATAAAATACAATACAACATCAATTAATATTTACCATAAATACATATATAATATTGCATACTATTTGCCAACCGAGAAAATAACGGTCGACGGAATCCGGCTTCAACATGCACGGAGTTACTTATCTAGTTATTATAGAAGTCTGTGGTTGCGTGTAAGGTTTTGTACTGTGGTGTAAACACGATTTAAGATATACAGGTTGCCCATCGATCTATACCGAAAAGTTTAAAAGTGTGAAGATGAGGTTGACTCACAGCTGTGGAAAACGACGCTAGCGCCCTCTACTATCACAATTTAAATCTCGAACTAATTATCAGTTTATCACACTAAATATTTAATAATTTGAATTTATGGTATATTGGTATATGCCATATGGCCATATTGGTTAAAGAACAAACGTAATAGGTATGGAATATTGGAATTATTATAGATTCTATTCCACGATTTAATTAATTATTTAATCAAAGGATAGTACCTATATTACTAGCTGCATTTAAATAAAATTAAATGGATTTATCAGATTATGTAATTTTGATACATTGCTATTCTTGTCTGATACTGGATGTAAATTATTATTCATATTGTCAAACATTGATTTTTTTTTTTAACTTGGAAGCTTTGTTTGCATTAATAAAATATGGTATACAATTAGGCTTGAACATTATTTCACTGTTCCATCCCGGGTTCTATAGGTTTTCTTACTTAAATTATGTGCTTATTTTTAAGTTGATAATTAATATAAATTAAATATACTAACTACTAAGTAATAAATTACTCATTTTGTTTTAAAATAAAATACCTATTGAAGTAATATTCGAAACAAACATTTGTCTATGCTGTAAAATTGTTTTAATTTTTCAAATATAATAAATTATAAATTTAAGCTTATTGAATATTTGTTGATTATAAAATTGTATTTATTTGTGTTTACAGTTATCAGGCTCAGTTGATGAATGTGAAGAAAGGTAAATTCATGATCGAATATTGAACAATTAGGTAATAATAATAATAATAATTGTTTTGTTAAATATCTTTTATTGAAAATTAAAAATAAATAATGTTAAATATAATATTTTTTTGTTTAAATTTTTATTAAGGGTAAATTCACACCAACTTTAGAAATTGCAAGTTCCATTTTCCCTAGTCATAAAAATGAGGACATTTTGGCTAACGCCAGTCACCAATACATAATGATTTGAATCATATAATATTTTATGGCAGACCTCATAAAACGTTATAAAACAATGTAGAGTAGAAAATCTCTAGATTTTGTTGTTTTAATAAGATTTATCTCAAATTATAATAAAATACAAGTTGTTTGAGAAATGTACACATAACGTGACAGGACATAACGTAACAAGTTATATTAATTTTTTTTACTCACATGACTTTACAATTTAAAATCTATTTTTAGAAAATATAATAGAGACTTAATATAAATTGAAAAATAATAATACACATATAAGCTTATRTATTAACAAAAGTTTGATGGTCAATCATTTCCAATTTGTAATTCTTTCCACCGTGTTTCGAGATCCAAGAATTTTTGTTGTAGAATTTTCTCTCGTTCTTTTTGACGCTCTACATCATCAGTTAAAGACTAAAATTTAATTCACCATTAGAAAAAAATCTGATTAATATTTTTATAGTGATTATTATTAAATGTTTGTTTAACTTTATAGGCTATATTACATACTAAACGTTTTAAAAAGATGAACCACAAAAATATAAACAAATGAAAAATGGTCTATTTAAAATCACCTGTAGTCGCTTTGGTATAGCAGATTCTTCCTGTCGTTGCAAAAACTGGAAAGTTGATAATTCTAAATGTCCTTGTTCAATCTCATCCACACTAGTTATGAATTGTTTGATAAGACCTTGAGAACGCGTCTAAATGAACAAATTGTTGGATTTAAAACTCAAGTTAACATAATTATCGTGTTTTAATGTTTATATCACATACTTGATATCCCCCAAGAATAATTTTAATTTTCTTTTCCATTTTTCCAGCTTTTTTAGCTTCTTTAGTCATATGACCTCTATTCTGTTCCAGTTTTTTTTCTAACGATTCAATCCTATCCTTTTTACTAGCTAAATTGGCTCTTGTATAACGATTTTGATTAGGCAGAAATAATACTTGACCCAAGCACTCGCCCCACACTTGAGTGAATGAATCTAATGAC